ATTAATAAGAACATTGTTAGCAGCAGCCGTAAATTGTGAAATGCACGTACATTACATAGATGTCGTAAAAGTATGTTCTAGAAGATCTAACCAACGAAGTATACATGGAACAGCCCGAATTATTTGTGAAATCCAGAGAAGAAGAAAAGGTTTGTAAGTGATAAAACCGTTGTGATGAACTGAAAATCTGGACGTGAATGGCACAAACAATTAAAAAATTATGTCTTTAAAAAAGGAGCCTATAGTACAGAAACAGATCCATGTGTATATGTTTTTGGGATAAACGAAAAAAGGATTGTAATGATTATTTATGTAGACGATATAACATTAGCTTCTGAAAGTTTAGAGAAATTAAATGAAATAAAATGTATGTTAAAGACAGAATTTAAAATGACAGACCTGGGACCAATAAAAGAAATTTTGGGTATGAAAATTGAAAGAAATGAACTAACAGTGTATTGTGACAATTGACGCGATTGAATTAGCGAAAAATGCCGTTTTCCACAAGCGTAGCAAACACATAGATATTAATTACCACTGTACACGTAAATTAGTGGAAAAAGGTGAAAATAAAAATGAATTACTTGATGACAGAATACATGATAGCGGACATAAAGCATTGCCAAAAATTAAACGTAGAGACTGCGTATATATGCTTAATTTAGGGGAAGGGTTGAAATATATCGATGGACATGTGAGATATATGTGTGATTGCTTTTGTATAAACTAAACAAGTGAACTCCTTTGCGCCCAGTTGATCTTAAGACGTCGTGAACGTACCTATATATTTTCAATCCAGTATTTTATCGCGTGTTCTTGTTAAATCAAATAAACTTTGACAATGAAGGAATATAGAAGACATATTGACTATTTGTTATTTTCGTTTTTATCGCGACGCATGATTTACTTATCATTATTAATGTAATAGTCCGCAACGCTGTATCAGTGTTCGTAGATAGAACGATCGTTTGAACTGTCTGAATGTTATGGATGCACATGTGCGTCCGGCGAAAGCTGTCGATGTAGACTATGAACGTATGATTTTGGTAAAAGTTACCAGCATAGACTAAATGCGCATATAGGCGTTTGTCAATTTCTTCGATCTCTCGCATAGTAATATTACAATAAACTTTATATGAGATGAATACATGTGTGAATACATAACGTCTTTTCATCATTTCATTTGGTGCAAAAGAATTACAATAAGAACTTATTGTTAGTTGTGGCTTGAATAGTTAATCAACAGATCGGTGGATGACGTGGTAGAAGAATATATTATACGACTATTGTACGTACCGCGGACACGGTGATACATGCTGGGCATGCGAACAATACTGATGCATTCATCGCGGATGACAATTGAGATAGACCCGCGTTTATTGTGTGACTGGAGATATACGCCATGACTCGATGCTTTTTTTTCCATTTCTTCTCCGATTTCTATTGTTCCGGTGAAGACGAACGAATTGCCGAGATCGAAATTATTATTTTCTTTCTCTTTTTTTCACTCGTTCGTTTAAAAGACTGGTTTCTCTCCGATGTAGATGACCTTGGAATATTAATACTTTAAACAAGTTTCTCATGACGTGTGTCGCACCTATTTTTCGAGATGATTTACGAAACTAAAAGAGTCTATTGAGGTCTAAAAAAGTCAATTGTGTCGTATAAAAGAATTAATTGTGTCGTTTAAAGAGTTTATTTGAATTATTAGTTTGTATTGTTTATCTTGCGTTTGTTATCTGTTGTTTTATTTCCGTTTTAAATGATATTTAATAAATATCATTTAAATTATATCTCTACAATATAAAAATTACATATAAAAAAATTATATTTTATATAACATAAAAACACTTCCTTAATGTATTTCATTAAAACATTCCAAACATAAATGTAATCCGTTTTTGTACGTATTACAAAAAGTTTCGAGTTATATTCCTGACTTTTTTTTCGATCGAATTTTGTGTACCTTCACCTTATTTTGTCTCTAATCGATGAACAGCTCCTGTAGAAACCTGAGAAAAAATCTGTTCATCTCGCTGCGTAAATGAATTAGCCAGTTTTTTTACGAAATGTCATGATTGACTTTTTTATTACTTCTTTAAACATGAACGGAGCATTCATGACAAAAGTATTTAATAACGCGAATGCTAATTTCTTGTAGCATTTTATCGTTTTTTCAAAAAGAATTACTATAAGAGTTCAATTGATCAAAAAAATCAATAGCAGTTATGGGCGCCCTCTTTTTATTGTAACATTTATCATTTCATCTGAATACTTCGTAGAAAGAACCACAACATTTCGCTTATCCTTCCATTTTAAAATTGTGATTCTTTTGATTGCTTTCTTTCACAATAATTTCTCCGCGTTTCAATTGTGTTGAATTAATAATGTGTCCGCGTTCACTTCGTTTGGATTTTCTTTACGATTTTTTCGGGATATTCCTATCAAATGCGTATTCTTATCAGCTTGTTTGCTAATTCCAGATTTATATACGTTATCGAGTTATCGATACACAACGTATAACTTTTATCAAATATATTTTTACATAAATCCGTAACAATATTAGAAAATGTATTTGTTTGTTTGAGATTTTCCTGTGTAAACACAGAAACTGAACGTATATCATTTATCCGATCCACGGAAACGGAATGTATATTCCTATAATTTGAATACTTTTATCCCGTATTTGTGTCTTTTCTGTTTTAAGTAGTGTCTAAAAATGATGCGTTTAGGATTTACACACAATACTTCTGATGAGTCGTAATATTTTTTGAAGTTTTTGTTAAGATTTTCGATAGCTTGTATTTTCGATAAATGATTCATCGTTTGCTTCATTATGTACGAAACGCAACATCCGCCATAGAATTTCGAATTTATCCCTGTTCATGATTTTCCGCGGAAACGTCTGAATGTATAAAAGATTCTTGCTCGAAAAATTGATTTACTTGATTCACTATTTTCTTCTTTCAACATTTTCTAATTTATGGTCAAGTAGTCTTCGTTTGTACTTACAATGAACTACACACGTATACACAGACACAAAAGCCTAGCCTAATAGCTTAGCCTAGTAACTGACTAGTGACTAGTCTAATGAAACTATCGTGGTGGGTTCAACAGCATGAAAACCCAAACAGGAGTATTATTAAAAATTACAAACTCTAGAAGTAACTTCATCCTCACAGGAAATTAGGAAACCCATAGACAAGCAAGTCAACCTAGTTAACACAGTGATAGACCTAATCAAAAAAAGGAAGATGAACGCAACCAACCAAGACAGAGACGTGAACATGCCAAACACAAGAAGAAACGTGATTACAAGAATACCAATAATAGACACAGTGCTGTCCCTGAAACAGATATCACTCCAACTCCACTCCATCCTCAGTCGGACGGACTCGTAGAGAGGATGATAAGGACCTTGTTGCAATATTTGTTCCTCTACACCGCGGACAATCAAAAAGAGTGGATCCGTTCTTCCCCCTAGCGTACCGATCTTCTCGGCATGAGACGACCCAATATATGCCGTCCTTCGTACTTATGGGACACGACCTTCGTCTTCCTCTCGACCTCTTAAAAGAATCGACTCTCTCTACTTTGGATGAGGATGCCTTTGCAGAAGAAATGAAGAGAAGACTTGGGAAATCTACAAGTTCGTGTGCCGAATGCATCTTTGCAGCGATAAGATGAAGAGCTGGTACGATACCTATTCCTGACCAATTTCCTTCGTACCAGGAGAGCAAGTTTGGATATATTACCCAAGACGCACGAAAGAAAAATATCAAAAATTACAATCTAATTGGGAAAGCCCATATCTGGTTAAGGAACGACTGAACTGAACTGATCTACAGGATTGTTCGTTCCCCTAAAGCGAAACCAAAGGTGGTGCATGTAAACCGTCTTGCTCGATTCGATGACGCTCACACACCTTCGAAGTAATAAATATTGCATAAGATCCAAGAGGAAGAGAACACAAAAAAAAAGTGGACGCAAAAAAAGAAGTGGACACAAAAAAAGAAGTGGACGCA